CCCCCCGTCCCCCGGCTGCTCCGGGACACGCAGCCCCACGGGGGATGGGGACAGGACCGTGGCTACAGCACTCTGTGCCCCTCACCCGGCTTACCTGGCCCGGGGCTCCCCCCCTCCTCCTCCTCTTCTTCCTCCACCCTACCAGAAGAGTGACGCAACGCCAACGTGTGCCACGACCTCAGGTACCACCGGCCATCACCAGGTACCACCAGACATCACTGGGTACCATCGGGCATCACTGGGTACCACTGGCCATCATCAGGTACCCCAGACATCACTGAGTACCACCGAACATCACCAGGTACCACCCGCCATCACCGGGTACCCCAGACTTCATTGGGTACCACCGGCCATCACCGTGCCACCAGCACAGTTGGCATCACCAGGTCACGGCGCGACTTGGCAGGGGCGGGTGACCTGGGGCAGCACCTTGGGGAAGGACCCTCCATGGGCACAACCCCGCCAGGGTCTCGCTCTGCAGCCTCCAAACCTGCCCTCAAATCCGGGCGCACAAGCCCGTCCCAGCCCCCGTACCTGCAGGGACCCGGCCCCGGGGCTTTTCCCACCCTCCTGGTTCAAGGGGCTCAAGCTCAGGCTAAGGCTCATCCCGGCTGGATTTGGGCTGGAAATCACCGATCCGCAACAGGTCGGACCCGTTTCCCTCACTCCAGCCGCGGCTTCATCTCAACCCCCTTCACCAGCTCCTCCGGAGCAGGCTGGCCAGTTAAAAGGCCCCAAAACAGGCTTTTTTAGACTGAAAACGGGAGCAAAACCAGCCCAACACCTCCCTCCTCCCAAAGCACCCCAGCATTTTGCTGCTTATAGGAAAACAGCCCCTTACAACTCCAAAGTTTTATTTTATTTCATCCCCTCCCGGGCAGAAAACATCAAGTGCCACAAGTTTTTCCACGCCAAAACACACTCTCACCCATGCCACCTCCGAGCCAAACCGCAGGAGAACCAACCCGAGGAAGGACAACTTAAATACACTCGCTTAAAAATCATAACACCGACCCGACCCTTGCCAGCGCCGTACCGAAAGGGGGGTCCCGTATAAATACAGTGCAATAATTACATATATTTTGCAATGGCACAATTAAAAGCCGTATCCAGCCCCGTGTCCAGGGGCTCATCCCGCACTGCTTCCCGAGCCCCTCTCCGCAGGTGATGCTCCAGCCACCAGTTGATAGCATCCCTTCTCCCAGTACACTCCAGGTTTCGATACCCCCAGCACCGATAGATCCGAGAGGCTGGAGGGAGCTGGTACGGACTTGGGGAGAGGGGCCGCAGGCCCCCGGGAAATATGGCTCCGTGTCCTGGCCAGGGGTTTGCTGGAGCCCGATTCTGGAGCTGCGGGTGCAAGCGCCCGCACATGAGCTTCATCCCCTCTTCACCCAAAGGTGACATCAGCTTTGCTGCCTGATTATTTTTTTGAGAATATTCCAGCCGCGGCGGGGGGAATCGCCGCTCGAAACGACCCATCATGATCCCGAAGAACCAGTCTAACTGGGGAGCAACTGGAGTGGTCCCAAAACATGACCCACCCCCAACACGGCCCATTCTGGGCAGGGGTTTCGCGGCCACCCGGGGGCGCCCCCAACCCACCCCGTGCACCCAAAGGCACCCCCAGTCTGCCAGCAGCCCCGGGGCAGTGGGAGGTTATGGCGGGGGGCGACGGGCGTC